TTTTTTTTTTTTTTTTTTTTTTGATAGACGTGTATGTTCGAGTCTCGCTCTGCGCGCCAGGCTGGAGTGCAATGGCCGATCTCAGCTCACTGCAAGCTCCGCTCCCGGGTTCACGCCATTCTCCTGCCTCGCCTCCCAAGTAGCTGGGACTACAGGGCGCCGCGCACCCACGCCCGGCTAGTTTTTGTATTTTTTAGGTAGAGACGGAGTTTCACCGTGGTTAGCCAGGAATCGGGTTCGATCTATGAGCTCATGATCCGCCCGTCTCGGTGATACCTCCCAAAACATTTCTTTATAATGTTGCTTAGTGTTGGCATTACATCGCGCCAAGCCTTGTCTCTCTTCCTTCCACTCCTCTATGCTTTTGTTTTTCTCCTCCTCTCCTGCCCCCTTCACCCACTGCCCGTTCCCATCAGGGCAGCAGTGTCTCAGGGCTGGGACAGAAGATACACTTGCAGCATGTGACAGTCCTGACTGGCGGCAGAGGACCCCCAGGACAGCTGCAGCTCCAGTCAGGGGGTTGGGGTGGGCTGGGTGTGCTTCTGTGCTCTTCCTGGGGTTCTCCCCACCCCCAAGAGACACCTTGCCTTTCAACAGTGATGCTAGGTAAGAATGACTTGATGGTGGGGAGCTTGTTAGAGATGGAGGAATTACCTTAGGGGCTCACTGGTGCCCTGGCATGCCCTGCTGTAAGGGAGGGATGCTGTGGGAGACAGGTCTCTTCTCTCCTGCTGACCGAGCTGCCTTGTCCCGCAGGCTGGTGGATGACCGCTGTGTGGTGGAGCCTGCGGCCGGGGACCTGGACAACCCTCCTAAGAAGTTCCGAGGTAAGACCTCTGCTTCCTCGGCCCCCGCCCCTCCCAGGCTGCAGGGTCCTGGACCTACGACTGAATTTATTCAACTGCATTCAGCCCCAGCGGCTGGATTAGATGTGGTGCTGCCCTGCAGACCTCACTCTGCTGTCGGTGGAATCCCCCTTGGCTTGCACTGCTGCCATCTTGGCACAGACACGCCATTCCCTTCATTTTCCAGGGCCACACCCCACTTCTCAGGGCCACACCCACTTCTGGCCAGGGGCCCATTCTCTGCTTCCCCCTCAAAATCCCCACAGCTGCAGGGCTTTCTTTGTCTGTGTGACTGGGTGTTTCCTAAGGGAATGGGTGGAAAAGAGAATTGTCTTAGGCTTTAGGAGACCCTGCTGACAGCCCTTCCCTGTGCCTCCGTTCCTCATCTGTATGGTAAGAGATTTGGACCCCAGAACTCTTCTGACCCTGGCTGTGTCCTCAGCCCCCTCCTGTGTGTGAGTCCTGCCCTGTAGGAGGCTCTAATAACAAAGCCCCTCAGTGGGAAGTTGGTGAGAATTCACCTCAGGCAAGTGACTTTGTTCATGGGGCCTTGTCCTGTGTGGTCAGTGGGCTCCTCGGGCCACGCAGCAGGCTGAGGACCTTTGTGGGGATTAAACAATATCCTGGCTGTCATTATGCCAAGCCAGAGTGAGGTGCTATTGTTGTGCTTACCTGTGAGGGCTGAGACCGACCGACAGTCAGACAGACAGGTCCTGGGTGTGGTGGGCATGGTGGGAGCAGGCAGCAACACGCTGGGCCTGCTGCCACCAAGTCTGCCCACGTGGCTGCTCCTCTGGGGAGAGCTTAGCTGGGATTGTCCTCGAGGGAGATGCTGGAGGAGGAGCGGGATTTAAGACAATCTGGCGGCATCCTAGGCTGGCTGGCTGCCGGGGGCCTTGCCCATCACTTGGAACCTGCAGAGGGGCCCCCCATCTGCAATTCTGTTCCGCTTCCATCACAGGGCTCTGAATGGGGGCTTTTGGCTGGTGGATGAGCCTCACCACCATAAGGCCCCTTTGCCCTACACCATTGGCCCCTGCTGCCTCTCCACCTCGTCCTCTCTTCCTTGCCCCCTCCCACTTCCCTGCAACCACCCCAGCCTCCCTGCCATTCCTCCTAGTCACCAGACACACTCCCGCCTCCGCATCTTTGCTGTTCCCTCTGCTCTGAACATTCTTTCTCCAAATATCCACGCAGCCCAGATGCTCAGCGGCTTTAGGTCTCACATCTTCAGCGAGGCCCTCCCTGACCATTCAATACAAAATCACACCGCTGGCCCCACCTCCCTTCCCTGCTTTCTTTTTTTCTGTAGCGTGAATCTGCCATGCTCACTGCATTTTATTTATTTGTGTTTGCCATTTTTCTGCCCCACTAGAATGTCAGTTCTACCAGGGGAGGGATTTCTGTGTTATTTGCTGTTTTACCTGCAGTGTCTGCCACATGGTGGGTCCCCGAGCACATTTGAGGAATCAGTGCATGCGTGGGGCCCCTCCCCAGCGTCCTCTTGCCCTGCCCCTCACTCAGGCCTGGCTGCTGCATGTCCTGTTGTTGTGACCCACCCAGAATTCCCCCAGTGGAGCCCAGGCTCTGTGGGTTTTATGTGCTCACTTGGAGGCACAGCTCTGACCTCTCCTATCCCAGTTCCCTGAAGGACGGATGGGTAGAGATAGGAGGCCTGGGCCTCTCCTGGAGTCAGAAATGGGAGGGCGTTGAGGCTGCAAATGGAGGGTGGATTGCCATCTAGTAGCAGGATTTAGTCTAGTTCTTGGAAGGAACTTAGCAATAGAGAGAGAGAGACATAGAGAGAGAGAGAGAGGTGAGGGTCCCATGGGTGGGCTCTGCCAGGACTGGAAGGGGAAGGTTTGCATGTATGTCGAGGTGTGTGTGGGCAGCTGTGTGGTGTGACAGGCTGGTGACAGGGAGGTGGGTGTGACCGAGGAAGACTTGCCCTAGGCTTCTAGTGGACAGAGTTTGGGGCCAATTTTTGACAACAACAAGGCCACTTAGCAGAACAAATGCTCCTTTGACTTCTTGCCCTCCTCCACCCTCATCACGCCTTCCCCTTCCCTCCTCCCCCAGGCCTCCATCTCTTCTCCATTTTCCCAAAGTCTGTGAGTGGGCTCCCCCCGCCATACCTGGGTGTGGTCCCATAGCCTCGCTAGGTCCATCTAGCAAAATGATGTGGAAGAGAAAGGTTCAGACCCCATCTCCTTCCCCCTCTTCTCTGCCCAAGCTCCTGGTTCCTGGGTGTCTTGGTGAGGTGGGTAGAGGCCCCTCTGGACCCCCTATGGCCCTGTTGGGACCTGAGTAGAGCTGACCTTCTGGGACAGAGCCAGGCCTCCGTACACCCTGTGGCTGGCGAGTACAAGTTGGGGCATTACAATGTGGGATGAGAGACATGGACTATAGCCTCTTCCGTTTTGACACTGGAGCCCAGAAAAGACAAAGATGGGGCTTGGCCGCAAGCCGGGAGTCCTGGCTTTCACTGTTTTCACTGGCCCTTGAGGGTGGGACCCAGCAAGGGGGTGGGGTGATGGCAGGCATTTTAGAAGTTGGCTGGTGGTCATCAGAAATGGCCTTGTCCTGAAGACTCCCAGAAGTTCTGCCCCCCCAACATCTTGGGGTGAGCCTGGCCATTGCTGGGACTCCCAGCTCCCTGCCCGACTCCCTGCCAGCTCCCCTTTCACTTGCTGACCCTGGAGGCTGGGCTCGTGAAGCCCCCACCACTCCCACCTTGGGAAGGAACCCCTGCATGGCTCTTTGCTTGTGGCTTCAGCTCCAGCCACCCTCGAAGACACCCTAAGCCCCAACATGTTCAGGGAATTATTTCCAGAGCTGACGAGGCCCTGGGAGGCCCAGGCTGCTGATGCCCTGGTATGTGTGGCACCCACGCTAGGCCAGCCTTTGAACTCTGCCTGGCTGTAAGGTTTTGGGCTGTGGCTGCAGTGAGTCCCGAGCTGCTGACTGGGCTGAGCCTGGGGCACATTCCCTCTCGTAGCCCTTTTTCCTTCTCTTCCTCCTCCTGTTGGAGCAAGGGACTGGGTAGCCCCTGTCTCCAAGTCTATCTCAGGGAAGCTCAGAACCTGCACCTCCAGCCCGAGTGCCCCCAAGCCAAGTGTGTGGGGGCAGGTGCCAGGGAGGAGAGTGATGAGGTGGCCGCTCTCCATTTGCATGACTGGATGCCCCCTTCCTCAGCCTACGCCTCCTCTCTACCTGTCCATGCTCCAAGCCCGGTTTACTGTTATTGTGATTAAGACATATTTCAAGTCTATACAATAGTAAAGAGAAAAATAGAGCCAGGTGTGGTGACTCATGCCTGTAATCCCAGCACTTGGGAGGCCGAGGCAGGCTGGTCACGAGGTCCAGAGTTCGAGACCAGCCTGGCTAACATGGTGAAACCCTGTCTCTACTAAGAGCACAAAAATTAGCCGGGCATGGTGGTACGTGCCTGTAAGCCCAGCTACTTGGTAAACTGAGGCAGGAGAATTGCTTGAATCCGGGAGGCGGATGTTGCAGTGAGCTGAGATCGCGCCACTGCACTCCAGCCTGGGTGACAGAGCAAGACTCTGTCTCAGGGAAAAAAAAAGAAAGAGAAAAATAACACACACCCCATGCACCCACTGCTGAGCTTTGTCAAATCCTTTTTGCTACGTTTATTTCAGATCTTTTTATTTATTTATTTTTTAAGTAGAGATGGGGGTTCCACCTTGTTGTCCAGGCTGGTCTTGAACCCCTCACCTAAGGCAATCCACCCATCTCAGCCTTCCAAAGTGCTGGGATTACAGGCGTGAGCCACCGTGCCTGGCCCAGATCGTTTTACTTTTAAAGAATTAACACAGCTGTAGCCGAAGCCCCCTACATCTTCCTCCCTTCGCCTTCCTTTCCTGCCTTCTCCAGAGGTAAACACTTGTCAGAAATTGGTGTGCATCATTCAAGGACCTGTTTTATTTTTATTTTTTACTCATGCCTAACACAACGCTTTGACCAGGGGTCTGTTTTAATACTTTTGCTGTTGATGCATAGGGATGTAACTGTGCACAATATAGGGTTTTTGTTTTGATTTTTTTTTTTTTTTTTTTTTTTGAGACTGAGTCTTGCTCTGTGATTAAAGTATCTGGTGCTGCACA